TCATGTGTTAAATTTTTTTTTTTTTTGCTTTGAGGTACACACAAGTGTTTTTTTTTTTTTTTTTGTGGCTTGTGTTGTTAATTCTATTTTTAACTCCTCGAGGAACTGTTGAGCTATTTTCCAAGAGGCTGCACCATATTACAGTTCTACCTAGAAAGTAAGAGCACTTTAATTTCTTTATACCCTTGATGACAGTAGTTATTATCCAACTATTTTCTTATTATCCTTTTACTATCTGTTGGGCTGCTTTGCTTTTATACAGTTTGCTGAGTTTGCCAATAACAAAGTACTAACAACTCATTAAGTGGGTCATTTCTCAGTATTGGGTTTGTAGGGAGTAAACAGTGACGGTTGAGATGTTTCCTATTAGAAACAAAGCAGAATTGCTTGCCACAAAAACTTTATCTTCCTCAACTCAGGTCTCCTTAGCTACAATGCAAATTTTAACTGCATGTGTGTTACCCACTTGTGCCATATAGCATCATCTTACAGTGCTTGGGCAACAAGAGGAACCTACAGAAATACGTTAATTATTATGCTGCTTGCTGTACCATGATCAATAAAGTTATGTGTCCCTGACCTAAAAGTCTCATGCCTTTGTCAGCATCCATCAAATAAACAAACCTTGTACATCAAGTAAACCAGATGTATACCCCTCTCATCCATTCCTTATACGTTTCTGCTATTTTCCTTTCTTTTTAAATTTAACCTTTCTCCACATTTTAGACTTAGAAATACATTTATATATACTAAATACTCATAAATGCTTCTTGTGTGGATTTTTTGAACCACTTATTTCAGTTGGATATAACATCCTCTAGGAGGTTCCTTAAATTAATATACAATTCTCTAAATTCTTTTGTGTGAAAAATTTTTCTATAACCTAGATATCTGAAACATAGTAGCTGAATAAAAAAATTGTTGGTTCATCATAGTTACTACTTCAATGTTATTTTACTTTTGGTTGCCTCAATGGGATTTAAAATGTCCAAACCACAACAATTATCTTGCATGAGAAGTTAAGAAATGTATTTTCCTGGAAGCAATGAAGACTTTCATTTTTCAAATCTAATAGTTATAGTAGGAAATGTTTTAGAAATGAGCTCTGTAAGGCTAATTTCTCCATTATCCAGTGGATTCTGTTCGGTGAGTAGATGCAAACCTTGAATTTCTAGAGAACTTTTTGTGAATAAAACTTTAACAGTTCTTCCTACTCATTTACTTTCATGATACTCTAAAATTGTGAATATAACCTCTGTCTCTTTTCTTCAACTTTGAGATATAAATGATTATATAACCTTGTATACGTTTACGGTATAAAATATATTGATTGGATATTTATACACTGCAAAAGGATTACTACCATGGTTTTAGCTAATACTGTAATCACCACATATAATTACCAGTTAGTTCATTTTTGTAGTAAGGTAGTTTAAAATCTGCTTTCCTATTAACAATTATCCTTGAATGCATCTCTGACAAGTTTTGCTTCATTCTTTGGTATTATTTTCAACAGACCTGGTTATTTATTTGCCTTTTATCAATGCACCTTATTATCACCTAAATCTGTTAGCCACGGGGCACTTATAATCATTTCCAAGATTTTTTCTCCTTGTTTTCCATTTGCATTCAAGTCTTTACACTTACTTTTTTGTCCATTTTCTTAATTTCTGAATTTCTGATTTCACATTTTTTAAATATCCTAAAATGGTAGCTACATATATTTTAAAATGGAGTTTGGTCAGTTTTTAGCTGTGTGGGTGTTGTGTGTGTGTGTGTGTGTGTGTGTGTGTGTGTGTGTGTGTGTAGGGAAGAGGATTTTTTACAGCTGATATGTACTAAAGCTGGTATGTACTGGATCTCATTTTCTTATGTTTCTATGACACCTATATATATAGTTTTATCAATCTAGCTTTTTTTCTGGTATCAGAATGTGTTTCACAAGCTATTTATGTTAACCGCATCCTCTTCTGTTAACTACTCTCAAACCCAGATATTTTAGGGTATTTTATCTTGTTTTACTGATGGAGAGACAGGTTTCTAAGACCTTCATTTTGTGTTCACTTTGTCTGCTGGAACCTAAACTTTCCCCCATTTGTTTCTTTTCTTCGCTAGCACCTAACTAGATTCTTAACTTCTGTCTTAATCCCAAAGCAACACACTTAAAGGACTACTCTGCAAAATCACTTATAATTTTAAATAACTTTCAGTACATGCTCTTTCTCTCATGCACATGCACACACACATACACCCACACTTAATTTCAAGTTTATATAGTTAGTCTTTCTGTCAGAGCAGGCTAATGTAAGGTATATCTTCAGATCTACTTGGCTGGCTTTAGCTTACCACCAAGCTTTGTTTTCGAACTGGAACATCAGCTCTTCTGGGTACACAGCTTGTCAACCCAACCTGCAGATTTTGGCGTGGCCAGATTCTAAAATTGAAGTAAGTAACAAACCAATTCCTACATATACATATCCCACTGATTCTGTTGCTCTAAAGAACACTGGTTAATAGAGGAGAATGCTCACAGAGGATGAGATATGAACAAACAGAATAAAACAGACCCTGAGCCAAGAGAAAAGGCACATAACAACATTTTCAAAAACTTTAAAGGTATTTCCATCTAGCTGTGATCTCAAGTCCTGTCATTTGGTAAATTTAAAAGAACCTGCTGACAGGCATCGTACTGGTAAGCTCATTAGACATTAATGTCCACTTCAAGGGAATTTAGTCTTTTGTCAAGTCTGACTCCAAGAGATTTTAAGTTTTTTGGTAAAATCACTATCTAGCTTTACCACGGAAGGGAGCAAATAGTAAAAGAAAAAAGATAACCTACCTCTGAGTACGTGGCCAGAAAAAAAAAAAAAACTATAAAGAAATAAATGTAGACTTGTATGATACATATAACTGTGTGTGCATAAATATACTCAACATATTTTCTAGCTCTGTTCACTGCGAGGCCCTCAAACAGTGAGGCACCAGGAACAACAAAACAGCCGGCAGCCAGTTCTTGGTTTCTAAATACTAATCTTTACTAAAAACAAGCATAACTCCATGAAAAAACTCCATATGTGGGGACTGGAAAGTATAAACTTTCCCTTCAATTTGAAGTAAAATTAAAGTTCACAGTACTTAATTTAATAACGTACTTTTAAAAAGTGGTAAAGTGGCCCTCCCTGGTGGCGCAGCAGGTTAACGCACAGCCCTCAGAAGCTAAAGCCACTTCCGCATGAGTTCGATCCCCACCTGCCCCAGAGGTGACCACATGGTGTGGCAGACCTCTCCTGACCCGCCCGCTGCTGTCCTCAGCAGTGTACTTCGTTGATCTGCCTGTTACGCTCCCCACTCTGTCTCTGGTGAAGCCTCTCACCGCCCCTGTACCTCTGGCCTGTATCCCAGCTCTGTATGCAAATAAATAAATCTTAAAAAAAAAAAAGTGGTAGTTTTACCACAATGGGACAAAAGATATGTATGACAACACCACAATAAAAGCACTACTTTTCCCCCCACAAAGGATGAGAACTCCAAAATACAACAACTGACAAATAAATGACAAAACCAGTACTGCTTTTGAAAGTTTTCTTGCCATGTCCTTCAATATACTTAAGTGAGGGAATCCAGAGACATTAATAAATATGCCCTTCATACCAACATCTAAAGGAAATGAACGTAAAACTATGTGTAGAAGCTACACATAGTTCTACACATAGCTTCTACACATAGTTTTACATTCTGCATAACTTGAATTGAAGCAACATTCACTGATTACCTACTCTGCAAACAGCAGTCTGCACAGTATTTGGAAACACAAATTAAGGAAAATGTCATCTTCACCTTTGGAACCTTAAATTCAGTTAGGTTTGTATGAAATTTAGGACACCAAGTTCATGAGAATGTAGATGGACCCAGTCAGGGAAAGAGCAAAACAAAAACTACTTGAAGACGTCAATCTGACGATAAAACCATAAAAGGAGAGATTGGTTTAGTTTTGGACACTGACATTCAAATGCCTTAGGAAGAATTCAAATTCACTTTTCAATAGGTTAAGTCAAATCAGATGACATGATTATCTACATGGGATGCCAGTAGGACAAAGAATTCACTCAGTATAAGCTATTGTCTAATAAGGTCATCTCAGAGCAAGGTAAAAAGGAACTCTATTCTTTCTCCTTCTAACGCTACAAAAAAGGGTCAGATTCTCTAAAGTTATTCATGGTAGGTTGATATAAAAGTGAAAATTATTCCTTAAATATATCCAAAGTAAAAATGTAAAGATATAAACTATGTGGACAGAATTGTGTCTTTTTTTTCTTTCCCTCAGAGTATGAACATTCACAGATTATTAATTAAGTTGAATTGGAAAAAATGAAAAATCAGGAAAATCAAGGTAGGTCCCCTTTTAAAATCTGTATTTCATTTATTAATACATATCATTATTTTACATCCTTGCTTGGTTTTTCAAATATAGGATTTCTCCCCTCAGATGTAGTCACCATAGCTTTCCAACCATCAAGTCTCTGTTTTCTATTTAAATATTATGTTAGAAGTGAAAGGTCATATTTTAAATTCTTTCAAGGATCAGAAAAAAATTATTTGAGTAGATAAAATTAGTATATGGTTCTGACGTTACTTAATACCTGAAAAGTTATAGTAATGGATCCTTGAGTGTTTAAAAGCCTGCCACATTTAAATTTGAAACTGAAGCATATCAAAAAACAATTCAACATTCTTACCACAATCATTTCTGAAGGCTCTAATACAAGACAATCACATCCTCTTTTTCCTCCAAACTGCTTACCAAAACTATAAAAACAGAAAAACAATTTCTTAGCAAAGTTATAAGTATATTAATATAGGAAAAAAAAAAGAGATCCAGATGTTAACCAAGAAATTCTTATACTATCTCTAGTATTAAGATTTATTTAGAAAAATCTTTCATTTGTCCAGATGTATCTGATGCCAGTACAATTCTGTGTGAAAATCTGTATTTCTGCCATCAATTAGTCTCTACAACTGATTATGTGAAAGATACTACCTGACCTCAAATTTGGACATTTATTTAAAGTGCAAACACCTAAGGTAGAATGAAGTCACAGTTTTGGAATATTTTATAAAAGTGCGTTATTATATGACTTTGGAAATGACATTAAGCAACAGATATAAACAGCTTTTAAAATTCATATATTTGAATATATAAAATTAGTAAATTAGAAAGGTGAATTGTTCAAAAGTGAACAAAAAAATAGTGTGGAGTCTGGATAACTCTTTGGGAAAAAATAAAATGTATTTAGAACTGAAAAAACTGATAATTTTTATAAATGTGTTGGGGAGAAAGATTTCTAAGAAAACATACAAAAAAACAAAAAAGATTTGTTTTCAGTTCGGACAAAGGAAATACAAAATACACTTGTAAATTATGTGAAAGATGAAAGATTAACATACTCGATATTTAAAGCTCACTTAAATAAAATTAAGAAAGCAAACTAAAATAACAAATGAAAATTAGCTACATGGTCAATTATAAAACAAATGTTTACCAAAAATAAATGAATAAAACTCCAGTATACTGCCAACAAAATATAAACTGTCAAGAAATAAGCTACCAGAAGTCTCTTTGTAAGTAGAAAATTTGGGGTGAGGGCAGTAAATTGGAAACAGTTTGAAGAAAGTAGTATGTAGCTTTACCAAAAAGCCCAATAATATCAAAATTACACTTGAAGTATAAATTTATGTATAATTAGTTTATTACGAAAATCCTGATCAGGTCCTCCCTGGTGGTGCAATGGCTTGGAGCGCTGCACTGAGAAGCTATGTCGGGCAGTGGAAGCTTCAGAGCAAGTTCCATCCCTGGACTCCCATGGTGTAGCGGACCTCTCCTGCTTGCACACTGCTCCTCTCAGCAGTGTACCTTGTTGACCTGCCTGTTCTACTCCCCACTCAGATTCTGGTGAATCTTCTCATGGCCCCTACACCTTTGGCTATATACCCCATTTCTGTATGCATAAATAAATCTTAAAAAAAAAAAAAAAGAAAGAAAGAAAATCCTAATCAAAATCCAAAACCCAAAACTTTCTGTAAAAAAAAAAATTACTTTTTCCTTAAGCTGTATTTCACCCCCCAACTCATATATCATCTAATACAAAACAATAAAAGCAAATTCATAAGTTTGTTTATATTCAAAATGGAGTCACTGGGACTAGACTTAACTCTCTGCACCTGTAAAAACTAGAGAATCAGGCAAAATATATAAAGTAATTTCGAGACACTGGAAAACAGGCCAGGGCTGTGATATCTAAGGGACAATTTAAAAATGAGCAGATCTCCTGTAATATTCTAAGTATACCACCTTACAAGCAAATTCTAGGCTGAAATGCTAAAAGGGAAAAGCCTGCGAGAGCCTGGTAGGTAATGTCATTGAACTGGAGACAGGAAGTTTTGGGGTGTGGATGTCAGAAAAATTCCTTAAATATTTTTTTATTGGCCCTCCCTGGTGGTGCAGCAGGTAAAAGCACAGCACTAAGGAGCTAAGCCACTTCAGCATGAGTTTGATACCCCACCCCGGAGGTGACCACATGGTGCAGCAGACCTCTCCTGACCCCTCAGCAGTGTACTTCGTCAGTCAGCCTGTTCTATTCCCCACTCTGTCCCTGGTGAGTCCTCTCACTGTCCCTGCACCTCTGGCCTGTATCCCAGTTCTATAAGCATAAATAAATAAATATTAAAAAAAAAAGAAAGAAAAATCAATACAGTACCATTAAAATTTTTAAAAAGTTATTTTATAGCTTTTAAACTGATTCTGATTTATATGGAGGAGTAAAAGACCCCGATTAGTCAACATAAGGTTGAAGGAGAATTAAAAGTCAGAAAATTAACTATGGAACTTCACTTCATGACTTACTATAAAGCTATGTAGTCAAGACAGTGTGGTACTGGTGGAAAAATAGAAAATAGATCAATGGAAGAGAACAGCAAGTCCAGAAACAGACCCCTATAATATCAACTGGACAAAGTAACATAATGAAGTAATACATACCAAAAAAAAAAAAAAAAAAAAAAAAAAAAAAAAAAAAAAAAAAAAAACCACTGGTTTTACACTCTTGACAAAACCTAACAAATGGATCACAGAAACAAATGTAAAAGACAAAACAATAAAACTTTTAGAATAACAAAGGAGAAAATCTAAATGGGTGTGGCAATGATTTCCTCAGCCAAAACACCAAAGGCACATTACAAGTTGGCCTTCATTAAAATAAAAAACTTATGCACTATGAACAAAGTCAATAAAGTGAGACTGCCAATGCAAATATTTAGAAATAGTAAGCAGAGATGCTCCATATCATTATCAGGGAAACATAAAAATGAAATACAAATACTATCAGAATGGCCAAAATCCTGGCCAATGACAAAACCAAATACTGTCAAGGATATGAAACAAAAACTCTCATTCATTGTTGGCAGGACCACCAAATGGTAGAATTATTTTAGAATACAGTGTGGTAATTCCTTACAAAATGAAATGTTAATTTATCATGCAATTCAGTAATCATGTTCTCTGGTATTCACCCAAGGAAGGTGAAAATTCAGATCCACACAAAAACTTCCAGAGATGTGTATAGCAGCTTTATTCATAAATAAACTGAACACAACCTAGATATCCTTCAATATGTGAATGGATAAACTGTGGTATGTGGAGATAATTATTACAACACTAAAAGAAGGATTAAGCCACAAAAAAGACATGGAGGAAACAAATACGTATTTCTTAGTCAAAGTACCCAACGTAAAAGGGTATAACCTATATGACCCCAACTATACAACATTCTAGAAAATGCAAAATCATACAAACAGTAAAAAGATTGTGCTTTCTAGGTGCGGTGGCACAGGCATGAGTAGGGGCAATAAAACCACTTTGTGGCATATAAAGTGGATTATATAAATTATCTATTTACTGAAATTCTTAGCATATACAACACCAAGACTGAATGCTAACTTAAACTATTTACTTTGGGTGGTAATGTCACAATGCTGATTCATTGACTATAACCAATGTACCACTCAGATAGGGAAAGCTGATCATTGTGTAGGTTACACACAAGTAGCAGATGAATCATCTTTATACCATCCACTCCATTTTGCTACAAACCTAAAACTGTTCTAAAAAAAATGAAGTGTATTTTAAAATAAACAATACATTATTTCCTATCAAAGCCCCAATAGGCTTTATTATATAAATTGACAAGCAGATCCTTAAATTTATCTGCAAATACAAAAGAGCTAAAATAGTCAAAAACAATGTACAAATGACAAAGCTGTAAGACTTATAGGACTAATTTCAAAACTTACAGATAATTCAATGTCTTTTCAACAAACGGTGCTAGGTCAATTTGATATCCTCATGCCAAACAAACTAAAAACAGAAATTGAGTCATACCAGCCATATGCCGAGTTAAAATGGCCACATATGAAAAACATCTAGGAAAAAAAAAATCTAAGAGAAAATAACTGAGATTCAGTTAAAGAATTATTATATATGACACCAAATCTCAATCCTTAAAAAAGAACTTAGCAAATATGACTTTATTAAAATTTAAAATGTTTACACCGAAAATACAAGTGAAAAAGACCAGCTATAAACAAGCTAAAACTATTTGCAAATCACATATTTGATTTAAAAGACTTGTATTAAATTCATACAACTTGATAAGACAATTAAATGGAAAAAAGCTCTGAACAGATATCTTAAAAAAATATCAGAACACTTTATTTATTATCACATGTTATACATATAAAAGAAATAGCACTAAATCATTTCAGAAACTATAATCACAGTGAGATATTATAAATACCCAGAAGTGGTAATAATCAAAAAGAGTCAGTATCAATGGAAAAGCTAGATCCAGTATATGTTGTTGGTCACAGCATAAAATAGTATACTCATCTTTTAAAAAATCTGACCCTTTCTGTCAAAAGTTAAACATATATTTCTACAATAAAATAACTCTACTCCTGGATATTTATAAAAGAAACAAAAACACAGTCCACAGAAAGACATGTATATGAATCAATATAACAGCATTATTCCTAAAAGTCCCCAAACTAATACAACAATCCCAAATTTTTAAAATTTTCATCTTCAGATGAATGGAAATACAAGTGGTCAATAACTGCATATAAAAATACCAATTATCATGGAAATGCAAATAATGCTACAATGAGGTTGCATTATATATACACACCAGAACAGCTGAAATCAAAACTATAGTAAGTATTACCGAGGTTATTAACTCACTGTAATTCTCATAAACTCATGGTGGAATTTAATAGCATAATCACTGAAAGTATTCTGGCAGTTGTTTTTTGTTTTAAGTTAAACATAGCTACCACACAACTGTGCAACTGTAGGTACTGCCTGAGAAAATGAAACCATTTTCATACAGACATATACATACATTTTCATTGATCCTTTATTCTTAATAGCCAAAAAATGGAAACAATCTCAAAGTTTTTCAATAGCTCAAAGGATAAACATGCTGTGGTCTATCTACATAAAATACTACTACTGCGCAATTCTAAGAAATTAACTAATATACACAGCAGCTTGAAGGAATCTCTACAACAATAAACCAAGTAGAAAATCTTAGAAAAAATATACAAAATATTAATCAATTTATGTAAATAACAGGAAATGTAAACTAATCTATATGCCAGAAAGCATTAGTGTGATTACCTAATAAGGGTGCAGGAAAGTATTAGTTGCCAGCAACTAGAACTAGATAAATGGCACCTACGAAATATTCATTTAATATCTAAATATTTATTTATGCACACAAGAACTAGGTGTAGGCCAGAGGTGTGTGTTGCAGGGAGGAGGGACAGGTGGTGAGAGGATTCACCAGACAGAGCAAGCAAAACAGGTGGATTTACTGAAGTACACTGTTGAGAGGGAAAAGCCTGGGAGACAGTAAAGATTTGCTGAGCCATGCAGATCAACTCCCTGGCCAGAAATAGAACGCATGTTGCACTCACTGGCAGTAGCTTGATAGTTCTGACATTTTAACCCTTGTGCCACCAGGGAGCCCCACCTTTGAAATATTTAAAAACACACCTTCCCATTCTCAAACACCCACACTAGCCAGCCCCATTTAAAACTAAGAACAAATAAAGGGTATCTGCCCTCTTCCCAACAGAGTAAGGCAGAAAATAAAGTAGGTAAAGTAGGCAAAGAGAGGCATTCTGATCAGGAAAAGTAAGCAGCAGCAAAATTGTTTATTCACAGATGACAAGGTGATATATATAGAAAAATAATAAAGAACCTAAAAAACAGCTACTAAAACTAAAATGTGAATTCAGTAAGGCTGACAAAGTTGAAAAAACCATACTATCTCATTTAAGTTACAATCATCAGGATAATGTGGTACTGGCAATAGAAAAAAAGATTAAAACAAAGTAAAAAGTTGGAAACAAACAATAGTCTATTTTGAAAAAGATGCAAAAGTAATTCAAGAAAGGACAGTTACGTCAACAAATAGGATTAAAAAACTAGATTAAGCATAGGTTAAAAAAAAATGAGATTAGATCCACACCATTAAAAAAAAATTGGTCAAAATAGATCACTAGCTTAAAGCAGGTAAAAATCTAAAAGTATAAAACGTTCAGAAGGAATTACAGAAAAAAACAATTCTTTGCGATCTTGGGGTTAGTCAAAGATTTCTTACATACACTACCAAAAGCAAAGCTCCTTAAAGGAACCCTAAACTTCATCAAATTAAGTGCCTCTGCTATCTGAAGAAGACATTTATCTGTAGATGGAAAACAAGTGTCACAAACTGGGAAAAAATATCTGGAAGTCACACATCCATTAGAAGACTTGTATATAGCCTACATTAAGATTTTCTGAAATTAAAAACTTAGAAATTGTACCACCTCCCTGGTGGTACAAAGGGTTAAAGCCCAACACTGAGAAGCTGGATGCTGGGCACTTCAGCTTGACTTTGCCCTGCCCCAGAGATGACCCACATGGTGTGGGACAGACCTCTTCTGGCCCACCTGCTGCTCCCCTCAGCAGCTTTGTTATCTGTCAGTTGTGCTCCTGCTTTATCTCTAGTGAATCTTCTCATGCCCCTGGGCCTGTACCCCAGTTCAGCATGTATAAATAAATAAATCTTAAAAGAAGAAAATTTGAAATTGAATAATCCTACCCCTTCCCCAAATAGGCAAAAGATGCTTTATAGTAAGATATACCACTGACAAATAAGTACATGAAAAGACGCACATCATTATTAGTCTTCACTGAAATGCAAGTCTAAACCACAATCAGGTAATGCTACAAACCAATTTGGATCTATAACTTAAAGATTCACCGAACCAAGTATTGAAGACGTCACAGGGAATAACTGAACTCTCCTATACACTGCTGGCAGCAATGTAAAATGGTGTAACTTTGCAAAATAACATTGCACTTTCTTAAAAAGTTAAACAATCACTGACTATTATATAGATTTAGTCACCACTAGGTACATGTGCCAAATAAAAAGTTGTGCCCACATGAACACTTAAGCACTTAAGAGTTAGTCATTCTACTACATTATTCAAAAGAAATGAAAGCATACCTCCACATAAAAACTTATGCATAAATGTTCATAGCAACTCTATCAAAAATAGGCAACAGACCAAAAGCCCACTAGCAATCAACTGAATGCTAAACAAATTGGTGTATCATTACACAAGAACACTGTAACAAAAAGTGAGACTGGATAGACATTACAACATGAATAAATCTCAAAATAACTTTACTGAGTATCAGGGGACAGACAAGGATGGATTAGTTATTGATACTGTAGTTTATAAAAAATCTAGAAAATATAAACGACCAAAACAAAACAAAACAAAAAAACCCCAAGAAACAATGATTCCTGGGTATCAAGGGGACAGCAAAGAAGGGAGCAAGGATGAATGTGAGTGAAGATTTACAGAAGGGCATAAGGAAATTATGAGTCTTCTCATATTTTCTCTTTGTTTATTGTATATATTTTTTTCTCCCTCCATATTTACTTTACATACAAGTTGCTGAAGATGAATTTTGTAAGATAATCTTAAAAGAATATTCAGATGTACAATATAATCAATAATAATTGTTGAAAACACTCATTTCCCTATTTGGCAAAGAAGGTAAGAACTACTTTATTTATCTGAGGGATAATAGCCAGATCTTCTGAGGTGAAAACAGAGTTCTGTTGTTGGAGTCCAGATGTGTTTAGAAATATTCATATAAAAGCTCAGTGCCCAAGATTATGAATTATACTAGTTATTTTATTGCCTCAACTCCAAATGTACTGGCTTGCAGCTTTCAAATCTACTTTGTTAATAAAGGGTCTGATTTAGTTAATATTGTCCTGCCAACTGGAAATGCTAGAGCTTGTCAGTAAAGGGTGCTGGGAGAGGACAGTACAGTTGGAAAATCTTTGCTTTGTGGGGTGTATATGTGTGTGCATGTGTATGTGAGCAAGCCCCAACCTCAGGGCATACCTAGCAGGGGGAGAAGGTCTTTGGTGCCAATCCTGAGCAGTAGTACCCTTCTTAAGACCAGCCTTGACCCAATGGCTACAGCACAACTCTGGCCCAAAGTAACCTAGTAAATGTCTTTATTACCTAGTTGGCTACACCTAACATACTATCTAAATTAATTCAGCTGCAACTGGAAGTTTAACTTTACAAGCTTGAAAAATCTCTTTCCAACATTATTGGTAAGGAGTCACTAATTACATTTTTTTAAACAAAATCTTACAGATTTCTAGCAGATTACAATCTCTTAACATTACTGTATCTGACCACCTCTCGAGCTCCCATCCCTTCTTTTATGTAGTAATTACGATAATAATAATAATTAACAATTACTTTTAATAGCCAGGCACTATTAAAGAGCTTTAGATTAACTCATTTATTCCTCAAAAATAGTCTGTAAATTAGTTTCTATTAGTATTTTCAGTCTACAAATGAGGAAACTGAGGCAAATTAGGTACTTTCCTGAAGAAATAACAGAGCACTCAGGCAGCCTGGAAGAGTGTCATTTTTTACAAACTTCTACTGAGAACTCTGAGTAGCAGCTTGGTAAGCACCATGAAAACATGCAAATAGGTACTACTTTTACTCTCCTTTTATAAACAAGAAAACTATATCTTGCCATATAGTAGGGATTCTAAGTTTATCTTATTCTAAAAAAAAACAATTTGTTGACTATTAATACCTTAACCAGTAAGACAGACTGCTTCCTAAACAACTCACAATATTAAAGAACTATACGTTGGATCGAATCTCACCATAAAACTAGAGATCAAAGGACATTAATATACTGTGTTGTGATGATAACTAAAAGATTATATCCTCAGAAATGAAATCTCAGTTGATTTCTGCACAGTATTTCTAACAGTACCAAAAAGCAAAGATATTTATAAAATGCAAAACCTACTGAAAAAAAAAAAAAACTTATTACACAGTTTAACATACCACTGGTGTAACATTAACTATGCCTGACACATGTACTAAGCAACAAATGTAAACGTACCTGCAAGGAGGCAAGACCATGGAGTCTTTCATAAGCACAGATCCAGAAAGCAGGATATACCAACATCTGGCAATAGTTTCAGAGCTGTTCAAATAAGTAAATAAGAAAATGTACACAAACATTTCCAAGTATACTAAATCAATATGAAATAGACAAAATTTGAAATATATTCCAATAAGATTACAAATCACTAAAGGGTAAGTAATACAGGATAGAAATTAGGTAATTATGTCTGCTGCCTAAGGTTTATACAAACCATATTCACATAGTAAAGTATAGTCACTAAGATACAAACAGAAGAATAGTATGCTTATTAGCTCTTACTGGTATCTTCAACTTCCTATAATTTATTTTGTGTAGTGGATCATGAAACTTGATGAGGATTACGTTAAATGTTGTACAGACATCTACATCTTAAAAAAATTCTATTTGACAGCTTTCATATACATTAAAGATACTATTCATTGGAATTCACAAGTTTATTGATTTATCTATTTTCAACTACAATTGGGTTATAATGAACCTATTTCTTTTAAATTTTATTCTGAAAGACTTACATGTCTATCCAATATTCTAGTTTACATGTGTTTTTAGTCCTTTTAAATCTCCAATAGTAACTTGTCATCTTAATGCAAATGGCCAACAGACATAAGAAAAAAATGTTCAATATCCATTATAATCATGGAATTGCAAATCAAAACCACAATGGTAAGAATGGTACATGTTAAGAAAAACTAACATATTAAAAAATATGATGGCAAAAAAAGGAACTCTTCTACAGTGCTGGTGGGGATGCAAACTACTCTAACCACAATGGAAAGCTGTGTGGAGGTTCCTCAGGTTACTAAAAATGGAGCTGCCATTTGACTCAGCAATTCCACAACTAGAGATCTACCCAGAAGACACAAACACATTAATTCAAAAGGACAGATGTAGCTCTATGTTTATTGCAGCACTATTTATGACAGGTTAAGACCTGGGAACAACCCAAATGCCCAACATTAGATGACTGGATCAAGATGTGGTACATACACACAATGGAATACTATGCAACAACAAAAAAGAGAATCTAATGTCCTTTGCAGCAACATGGGTGGAATTAGAGGAATTATGCTCAGTGAAATAAGAAAAAACAGTATCGGATGGTTTCACTCGTAAGAGGAACACAGGGAAACTAAGAGATCATGGGGGAAATAATTTTTAAAACTACAACAAAGCTAAACAAAAATAACCAGACAACTATAAATCAGAGACATTCTGCAAGTGAGGGAGAGGGTACAAAACAAGGGTGGAAAGAGCATACGGGACTAAGGTGATGGTGTATGGGTGAATTGGTGGTGGGAATTCTATGGGGCCTACACCTGATGTAAAATATATACAAATAAAGAAATATAAAAAGAAAGCAACTACTAAAAACAAAATTGTCACTTATCAGATATTTGTTTATAATTTAATGTTTCTCTCACTCATCTTTATTAACTATACTTAAGGTTTCATTTAATTCCAGTATGTAGAGAAATTTAACATCGAGAAAGCAAATCTTTCTTGTGAGCTGGAAAATTGTATACTCATCTGGTCATCTACTTCCCATGTCAAGTTGTATTATCAGACAGACAATTCAAACTCTACATCTTCAATCTCTACCCACAATCATTTATTTGTGGGTATTTGAGCACTCTCTGTTGTACAAGCATTCTCCACCCAGAAACCTGTGCTTACAAATCATTCCATATAGCACCAAGGATAAGCTTTGGACCAATCCTACTGCTTACCATGAAAAGGGGAAATTCTTGCCAACATTTCAGTAGGTACTTTAGAGTACAGGCCAGAGACTCAGGGGCGGCGAAAGACTTCACCAGAAACAGAGTGGGGAGCAGAACAGGCAGATCAACGAAGTATACTGCTGAGGGGAGTAGTGGGCGGGTCAGGAGAGGTCTGCCACGCCATGTGGTCACCTCCGGGGCAGACAGGAATCGAACTCATGCGGAAGTGGTTTCAGCTTCTTAGTGCAGTGCTTTAACCCGCTGCGCCACCAGGGAGGGCCGAGTACTTTTTATCTCTCTCCCCACCTTCACGGACAGAAGATGGAAATGACTGCATTACCTTAACCTATGCAAGGTTTTTTGTTTTTTTTTTTTAACAATTCCACTTCCTTATCTTCTTAATACTTTACAAAACCAAGAAATAAAAATCAATGAAAGCAAAATTTGTCCAAAGTTAACACAGAAAAAAGTTTTACTTGGGAGCTACAACAAGCATCCAATTTTTATCATAATTAGTTGAAATAATCACTGTCCAAAAATTCTACCACAAATGCAGGAAAATTCTCAAGTTCACTCCCACAGGCATAAAAGACATGCCAGATCATCTATCGGAAATTGTTCAAATCTTGGCAATGCACTGGATAAGTAAACACAAGGAACATGAAACCCTTTTATGTGGGGCCACATTATTTCCTTTCTCTGCAAGTAAATGATCCAAGAATAATCTGGCTCTGAAAAGGGAGCCATGAAGATCTTACTTCCTGAAAGGCTTCACAAAACCCTAAAGAGAAGGCCACAAACTCTTAAGCTTGCCTCCATCTGACTCTCAAGATTCCTCTCAGCTGTTTACTCTTCTTTGCTCTTGGAACTTAACACTATTGCTTTGTTTTCCTTTTTTTTTTTTTTCTCTATTATGCTGCCTCTCAGGATCAACTACACTCTTTTCTCTGACTTCACAATCTAGGAATTTAAATACTTAGCTGCACATTCTTTTTTAAAAATTCTGGCTTATGCATGAGAAATACATTTTGAAAAACTAAATGTTTACAAACAGCTTAGTGAGGTATAATTTACCGATCACAAACCTACCCATTTTAAGTGTGCAGTTCATTGATTTTTAAATGAAATTTATGAAAAATGTAAACACTACAATCCAGTTTTAGAATATCCACATCAAAAGAGATCTCCATTTTTTTAAGTTAAACTTTTACTCTTACATCATTGTTGATTTTTGTATAATATTTGATTTCTCCTCTTAGATGAAGTTCCCCTAGGTCTCCCACCACCACACCCATTAAACATCACCATAATCCATAGTGCTTTTCCCTCCCGTTTTGAGCCTCTTCTGTCCCCCTTTCCTCATTGTTCACCTCATATTTATAGCTTGCCTCCAAGTTTTGTCTTTTTGTTTTCCTTGGCCCTTTGTTTGGTTTCCCTATATTCTTCCCATAAGCGAAAACATTTTATATTGTTCTTTTTCCTTTTGACTATTTCACTGAGCATAATCCTTTTCAGTTCCATCCATGTCGCTGAGAATGGGCATTTTATTTTTATTTGATTGCCCAATTGTTTTCTACTGTGGATAGATACCACATCTTCTTGACCCATCATGTGTCTGGGGGCATTTTAGGTTGTTTCCATGTCTTAGCTTTTACAAATATGAACACAGATTTCTGATGCCACTTTACAGTCAATCCCCATATCAGCTAACCAGCAACTTGTTCTTTTTCTATAGTCTTTCCTAAACAGTTTGTACAAATGAAATCATACAATTATGTAGTGTTTCTATCATCCTGTTCTCTCATCATGTTTTTGAGGTTGGTCCATACCATAGACTGTCTCAGTAGCTTCTTCCTTTTTATTGCTAAATAATATTATACTATACAGATATTTTATCAGGTCATTAGATATTTTGACTGCTTCCAATTTTAGACTAGCATGAATTCCTCTATTGAGCATACATGTACAGTTTGTATATGTATGATTCTATTCCTTTTGGATAAACATGTAAAAGTGGAATTATAGAGTCATATTGTAAAACTGTTTACCTTTTAAAAAATTCAGGTGTAAGTAATAATATACTTCTGTTAGTTTCAGGTGTACAACAGGATGTTATTTGCATATATTGCAAAAAGATCACCATAATAAATTTAGTTAACATCAGTCACCAAAAATAGTTTAACTTTTTTTCTGGTGATGAGAACTTTTACGATCTACTTAGAAACTTTCAAATATGCAATACAATATTTCTAAGTATAATCACTACACTGTACTACATCTCCATGACATATAATTTATAATTTAGATGTTAGTTAGTACTTAAGCCATTTTCCCTACCCGCTCCTGGCAATCACCCATCTGTTCTCTGAATCTATGAGGGTTTTTTTTTTCTCTTTAAAGATTTTATTTATGCATGGGGGGGGCTTCAGTTTTTCTTGGCAGCTAGCTGCTTTCCTCATAACAGCCAGGACATTGCCCAATACCTCTCTCTTCCTCTTGGGGAAGGTTACTGTCCCCATACTCTTCTTGATGAACGTGAACATGAGGGGCCACTTGTCCTTTGAGACCTTGAACAACTCCACTGATACTGCTCATCTTAAAAAAAAAGACCATCTTTAGTCCTTGTCAGAGCAATAAGAAGTCATACAAGGAGTTCAAATAGGCAAAGAAGTAGTAAAACTATCACTATTCACGGATGATATGATAATATAAAGAGAGAACCCTAAGAACTCCACAGAAGAACTACTTAAAACAACCAGTTCAGCAAAGTAGCAGAATACAAAATCAACAGACACAAATTATTCAGCCTCCCTATAAATAATCAATCTGAAAAAGTAGTCAAGAGAACCATCCCTTTAAAATTGAAACAAAAAAGAAATTAAATACTTGGGAATAAACCTAATGAAAGAGTTAAAGGACCTATACAAAGAAAATTATAAAACACCATTAAAAGAAATAGAAGATGACACAAATAAATGGAAAAATATTCCCTGCTCAGGGATTGAAGAATTAACATTATTAAAATGACCATCCTACCAAAAGAAATTTGAGATTCAACGCTATTCCAAGAAAAATCTCAAGTACATTCTTCAAGGAAACAGAACAAATGCTGATGAAATTCATATGGAACCACAGAAAATCAAGAATAGCTAAAACTCTACTAAAGAAAACAAAGGAGAATGGAGGTGTCATACTTCCAAACTTCAAATTACACTACAAAGCCATAATAATGAAAACAGTATGGTACTGAAACAAAAACAGACACCAATGGAAGCAAATAGAAAGCCCAGAAATAAACCCTCACATATATGAACAATTAATCTTTGACAAAGGAGCAAAGAACTATGCAAAGGAACAAGGACAGTTTAATAAATGGTGCTGGGAAAAATGGACCAACATAAGCAAACCACACAGCATGCACAAAAACCAACTCAAAATGGATAAAGATTGGCCATAAGACCTGAAACAAAATATATAGAAGAAAATATAGTTAAAACAAGACTACAAGACATACATCTCAGTAACATCTTTAAGACTCATCACCCCGTTAGAGAATTTTCCCTTTATGCATGGGGAAAAAAAAAAAGACTAATCACCCAAGGTAAAGAGTTTCTGCACAGCAAAAGAGACATTAACCAAGACAAAGAGACACCCTACTGATTGGGAAAAGAAAAAAAAAAAAACAAAACACACCTTTGCACTCCATACAATGGATAATGGACTGATCACAAAGATATACGAAGAACTCACACAAATCAACAACAACAAAAAAAACCAAACAATCCAGTTAAGAAATGGGTAAAAGACAAAGAAAAATACCATATGGTTTCACTCGTAGCAAGAGCATAAGGGATCGGAGGAAAAGAAGCCAAGTATAATAAAATAGAATAGAAAAGAAAATTACAAACTACTATAAACCAGAGACATGTCATGGGGTGAATGAGGAATGGGATCAAAACCGGGGCAGGGAGAGTGCACAGGACTACAGTGACGACACACTGGTGAACTGGTGGTGGGAAGCCCCCAGGGGATTACAAATGAGATGAAAAAATACACAAAATGAAGAATGATTAAGTAAAAAAAGTTCTTCTGTCCATTAAAAGACGCTTCTCTAGGCCCTCCCTGGTGGCGCAGCAGGTTAAAGCACAGCACTGAGAATCTAAAGCCGCTTCTGCATTGAGTTCGATTCCCGCCTGCACCGGAGGTGACCACATGGTGTGGCAGACCTCTCCTGACCCGCCCGCTGCTCCCCTCAGCAGTGTACTTCGACATTCGGTCTGTTCTGCTTCCCACTCTGTCTCTGGTGAAGCCTCTCACCACCCTGAGCCTCTGGCCTGTACCCCAGTTCTGTATGCACAAATAAATATTTAAAAAAAAAAAAAAAAAGATGCTTCTCTAAAGAGAAACTGCAAATAGCTATCAGGCAATGAAAAAATATTCAACATCCCTCATAATCAGGGAAATGCAAATCAGAACCACAATGAAGATACTACCTTACACAGTGAGATTCCTCAGACTACTAAAAATGGAGCTACCATTTGACCCAACAATTCCACAACTAGGGAGCTACCCAAAGGAGACAAAAACATTAATTTGAAAGGATACATGCACCCTTATGTTTACTGCAGCACTATTTGTAATAGATAAAGACTTGGAAACAACCCAAATGCCCAAAATTAAGATGACTGGATCAAGAAGATGTGGTATATATACACAATGGAATACAATCGAACAATCAAAAAAGATAAACTCATGCCATTTGCAGCAACATGGATGAAGCTAGACAGGATCAAGCTCAGTGAAATAAGTCAGAAGGACAAAGAAAAATATCAAATGGTTTCAGTAATGGGAGCAGTATAAGAGAACCAAATAAGACATAGGGGGGAAATGTATTGTTTTTACAATATAAAACACAACAAAACAAAAATAGACAACTATAAACCAGAGATATCCTACAGGGGAGGGGGAGAGAGAAAGGAGTCTGTAGGAGTCAGTGGTTGATGATGATGTGCAGGTGAATTGGGGGTGGGGGAAAGCAAACATCATCTTAAAATGAACACCAATGTAAATAAATACATAAATAATAAATTTAATTAAAAAGCGAATAAATGGAGAAACAAAACAAAAACACCCTTTTCTTATTATTGACCAAATGTGCTGGGTTCTAATTTGTCCTTTAAGCTATTTTACTTTTGAAGAAACTGACAAACTGTTTCATAAAGTGGTTTAACATCCATAACACCATAAAATTAGGACTCCAAGTATCTACCTACCCTTGTCACATTTATTACTATACACCTTTTTATTTATTTTAACGACTAAAATAATTTTCACAGATGGTATAATGGAAACACTTTATGCAAGTAAATGCTAAATTAGCTCAGCACTATTTGTGGAAAAACCATGCTTTTCCCATTGAAATGCTCTCAACACTTTCATAAAAAATAAAATGTTTGGTATTTCTTTTTTAATCCTTAGTTGTATTATAGTACACTGTTCACAGATATTAAAAATTGTTCATCAGTGATAAGTGTTGACTTCTGGTTTCAATTCTATTCCAAAGATCCATATACTTTTTCTTGATAAAACTTATATATAATTAACTATGTTTGGTATTAAGCTAAATTATGGCAAATATTGTTTTGTCTTCCCTCCATCCTACAGCAGGTGAGGGAAATCAGGAAGGGGAGATTTTACTTTTTGCACAAGCCATGAAGAGCAGTACTAACAAAGAGAAAATTTGAGAATGCTAGGAAATTTCTCTTCTTCAAACGTTTATGGAATATTGCCAAGCCATACACTATAGGATATTGCAATATACGAATCCAACAATAGTTAGAGACTGCTTAAGATATCAATAAAAAAAGATAGAAAACTCAAACAAAAATTGAATCACAATTTCAAAGTATTATCCAAATACCTCATGAAAACCATTCATCATTAATAAAGAAATGTAAAATGACATAATAAACAATTCTAGCTAGAGTGTCCCAAATTTGAACACATGCATTTCCAATAATTCTATTTCTAAGAAAACACCCAATAGGCATGAATATATACAGGCAAGAAAGATATGAACAAAGTGATCCTAGAAAGTTTACTACTCATGATACCAACAAAAATGTAATAGTTAAAATTTCTGTTAAGAGTGGAAAAGGTAATTTTTTTTCACCAAATATATATACTACATAAAGTAGTGAACAGAATGAATGCACAAATATGAGAGAATCATGGACATTTGGAATTTTTAAAAAGTCTGACCAAAGTTCAAATTAGTCAAAACTGTGATAATGTTTCCAAAAGAGTTGACTAGAATCTTCTGGAAAGGTATGAATATTCAACTTTGTTGCACTGTGTATCTCCTTGCTCCCTATGTATTTCATAATTTAAATATATTTCAGTTTGCTCTACAGAAATTGTTCCCAAAATCAACCAAATTTTATTGCTAAAGCATAAACATTAAAGCAATTAACTCAACCATGAAAATACTTACCAAAAAAGAATTTGATTGCCACTGTATTTCTCATAGCGTGCTCTTGCAGACATTAATCTATTAAAAAACAATTTTTTGTCTTAAAGTGTTTCAAAAATTCTTATAATTACCTCAAGAAAAGATTAAACTATGAAAATTTAGAAATACACACATTTAAGTGCAATATTTTCAAAAACAGCAATTAGATAACATTAAGTGGCAACAAATATAACACTCGAGTAATTCTATAACCTGCCAATTCACGCTAACATTTTTTATGAAAAATATTTCATTTGTTTGATTCACTACTTAACCCTTATGTGAAGAACAGGTATTGGCAGTATATACATAGAGAAATCTATTAAATGTATAAATGTGTTTGCATTTAGAAAATATTTTCAGTATTATTAAATAATCTAGTTTTAGTTTTCACCTCTTATTTGAGGTATACTAACATATGAATAATGCTATACAGAAAACAAATGATAAATCACAACCAAATATACTTTATCAATCTGATGTACAATCAAAAACTTAAAAAACTGTAAAGAGTGAGTAAACTATGTAAGAAAAACACATTTTAATTAAATTGTTATGCAAAATTAGCACAATTAGTGCTTTTAATTTACTCCAATGTGTTTATTCACAATGACATAAGCTAACATGAGAGAAAATTCATTTTATAGACTAGGAAAGTAAGGCTTAGAAAGTTTATGGATCTTACCCATGGGCTATAACAAATCAAATACCCTACTGTTTCCACTTTAAATATAACACTAAATCACTCTATGTCCATCCTAAAAATATGAAACAAATATCAATACACACCACAAAAATAAAATAATTTTGTTTTAACTGGCTAACACACTGAGCACTGTGCTTTGTTTTAGAAAGTTACTTTCATTTAATCCTCAAACACTGTTAAAAAGATAAATCTTATCACTATTTTATGGAAGAAAATACTGCAGCTTAGAAGTTAGTATTAGTTAAGGTCCATGGCTGAAGAAAAAAAAAATTTGAAAAAAATGCAAATTCCTATGATTATCTTACAAGGACCCCCCCCCCAAATGATTTATCCTCTGCAACTAGCTGGCCACCTCACTTGAGTAACACCATATCATGCTCTTAACACGGGATCATACTTACCTAAGTTGATGTTCCCTTAGATTTGATAATATTTCCATTCCATGAAGGTAAGCATAAATAGTATTTAAGTCCTGTAGAACAGAAAAGATTTTAGGTCATTTTCCAAATACACTTAAGAAAATATGACATTCCATATTTTGCTTAAATTCTGAATATAAAAGGCATCCAACATAGCTATTCAACCAATGTCAGGACTCAAAAACTCATTATTTCACATTAAATCTATTTCAGGCCCTTCCTGGTGGCGCAACGGGTTAGTACACAGTACAAGCTAGTTGCAGCCACTTTCGTGCAAGTTCAATCCCAGTCCCAGAGGTGATCCACATGGCGTATCAGACCTACTGCTCCCCTCAGCAGTGTACTTCGACCACCTGCCTGTTCTGCTTCCATCTCTGTCTCTGGTGCAGCCTCTCACTGCCCCTGCACCTCTGGCCTGTACCTTAGTTCTGTATGTATAAATAAACCAATCTTTTAAAAAATCTATTTCATTTTTAAACAGATGTAACCTTTCTTCTTCAGTGACCACCTATTATGCTGTCTTTTAAGTCTTATTTGTTTGGTTTTCCCCTTCCAGATTGGTTTCTGTATTTCAAGGTCCAGATTTTTGTGTGTCCTGGTAAACCACCTCTACAGATGAAGCTGTATATAACTATTTCTCTTAAAAAACAATTTTCTTCAAAAATATTTCTTCATCTACAAACAAAAAGGGTTTCCAATGGGACAATCCTATCCGTCTCTCTGTGTAAGAGGTAGAGAAATTTTCTCTGGTTCTCTTTGATAACTAGATAGTAAAAATTCATAGAATGGGGCCTTCCCTGGTGGCACAGCAGGTTTATTTAAAGCACAGCACTAAGAAGCTAAAGCCACTTCAGCATGTGTTCAATTCCCCACCCCAGTGGTGACCCACATGACATGGTAGACCTCTCCTGACCTGCCCACTGCTCCCCTCAGCAGTGTACTTTGTCAATCGGACTGTTCTGCTCCCCACTCTGTCTCTGGTGAATCCTCTTACTGCCCTTGCATCTCTGGCCTGTACGCCAGTTCTGTATGCATAAATAAATAAACCTTAAAAAAAATTCACAGAATGACATAGTATACAACCTCAGCTAAGAGCTAAGAGTGTCATAGCAAAAGGTCAAACATTAAAACATAAGAACACCAATGAGAATGGTCTATAAAATTATAGAACATAGCAGATTGAATAATGATATGACAAACTTTATCTTCAAAGGTGGCTACAATATTTCTTATTCCACATGCTCCTTTACTGAGGGATCTTACCAAGCCCCCATCAAAAATTGGCAGTTAAAGAAAACCTACAATGGGTCCATAAGCTATGTGGTAAAAGCCAAATGTACTTATCTGAAAACGTCATCTTTTCCTAGCACAAGACAGTAAATAAAAGACACAACAACTTTCAAAGGGGAGAACAATAGTAGCCCACCAGTAAAGACTTAAAGGATACAAAGATGATGTCTGCTATCTCATGATCTACAGAAAGCAGATGAATCCTAAAAAACAACAATAGACTCCCAAAGACTTAACAAAATTATAGCCCTAGTCATAGTTGCAGTCTCAAGACATGACACTGATTTAATTAAGCCTCAGGTATGAATTTAGTAGTGAATGTGTTCTTTTTTATTCCTATTATAAAAGAGGATCCAAAACATTTTGCATTCATATGGGAGAGTATTAACTTACAATCTTCTTTTTGGGCTATCTTAACTCTTACAACCTGAAGGTATCTAAACCTCCTGACTCATTATATATAGCTGACATCTTTCTGACAAGACAGAATGAACAAAAGTATGAGCAAGAAGTGGCTGGTACCCTGAAGTCTTTGTAACACACATATACTCCAGCAAGTGGGAGATAAACTTTATGAAATCTCAACTACCACTGTAATGTTCTTAGGGATATAATGGTGAGGGGTATTTTAGGACATCCCCTCCAATAAAAGACTAATTATTGGGGTTTCGGCTTTAAGTCCGGATGAGTAAAGAGGACCAGACTGACCTTCAACCTAGGACCAAAAAAATGAAACATTTTTCAAGAACAAAGATATCAGGTAACAAAGGACACCTGAGAGAGAGAAAACAAAGGTTGGTTATCTTAAGTTAAGGAGAAGGAGCTGGCAGTCTAGAAAATATGGTTGGAGTTTGCTGAGCATGATAATGCACTACTCTGGGATGTGGCATGTTCTGGAAACTCACACAGGATCTCCTTTATGTACTAATCATCACAAACTGATCTCTGAACTTAGGGAAGAAATCATCTGACAAAAGTATAGTTGTGGTCTTTAGCCGGCTGATCTTGTCTCTGGGACATTTTAACGATGTCTGGGACATTTTGGGGAGACATAGTTTGGCAGTTGGGGGACACAGGATGTTACTAACATTGAGTGCCCAGAAGTCAGATGTGCTGCTAAATATTATAGAATGCACAGGACTAGGCCCCAGAATAAAAGACTACTTGAGACCGGATGTTAATAGTGCTGAAATTTATACACCCTGCATTAGAGGCAACAAATACCAAAACTCACAAAGGGACAGAAAGTTCCTGCTCCCACCAGGCATAGTGCAAAATCTCATAATTCAAAGAGAATTTGTTGCAGTGTTCTAAGTTTTCACCCAGTACAGAGGTAAAGTTAACCCTACATTAAATGCTACTATGATGCTACGTAACAGTTTGAAAAAGTCCTCAAGGACTCAAACAACTTCCAAACTACAAAATTGTGTCCCAGAACATGAAGAAAATTTATAATAGACAAAAAAATATACAGCACATAAAAAGGTATGAAATTCGCAACTTTCAGTATCCAATCAAAAATTACCAGGTATGCAAACAAGGGACCCATAATGAAAGGAAAATTAATCAAAGCCAACTCAGTAATATAAAGAGAATTAAAAGGAAAAAAATAAGTTAAACACTATTTACATTCCATGTTTATGAAGATACAGCAAAGATTAAGCATATGATCTGGGCATTAAAAAAAAAGTGCCAGTGGCCCTCCCTGGTGGCGCAGTGGGTTAAAGCACAGCACTGAGAATCTAAAGCCGCTTCCGCATGAGTTCAATTCCCGCCTGCCCCGGAGGTGACCACATGGCGTGGCAGACCTCTCCTGACCCGCCCGCTGCTCCCCTCAGCAGTGTACTTCGTCCATCTGCCTGTTCTGTTCCCAGCTCTGTCTCTGGTGAGGCCTCTCACCGCCCCTGAGCCTCTGGCCTGTACCCCAGTTCTGTATGCACAAATAAATAAATCTTTAAAAAAAAAAAAAAAAAGTGCCAGAAATGAAAATAGTATTTACAATATACAATAAACTGCAGGGATGAAGAGCACATTAGATTGCAAAATAAGTGGGAAAAAACAAAAATTTTTGAACAGTACATTTCAAACAGTCTTACAAAGTTAATCGGAGTCACTGCAGGTAGAGGGAGAATTAGAAAAATGTTAAGAATGGCAGAAAAGCTTTTATATTTGATTAAAGTTATACACTCACACATCCAAGAAAATCAACAAACCTCAAGCACAAGAAATATAAAAATGATACCAAAACATTCATAATCAGGTAGCTTTAGAAAAAAGCTACCAAAGAATTATAAAATCAAGTAAAGAAGTTATATCACATAATGAGTGAGAACTAGGATTATAATTACAGCGGCCTGCCAGAAACAATGCAACCAAATAGTATTACGGTTAACACTTAAAATCACACACATACAATACCCACCTAGAATTGCATTTCCAATTTTTTCTTTAAAAAAAAAAAAAAAGTAAGTTATTTTTCACAGATTCAAAAGCTGAATTGGTCACCAGCAGACCCACTCTATAAAAAAATGTTCCATAAAAGAGGGAAACAAGGCCCTCCCTGGTGGCACAGGGGGTTAAAGCACAGCACTGAGAAGCTTAAGCCACTTCTGCATGAGCTCGATTCCCGCCTGCCACGGAGGAGTCCACATGGCAAGGCAGACCTCTCTAGACCCGCCCGCTACTCCCCTCAACAGTGTACTTCGTGGATCTGCCTGTTCTGCTTCCCGCTCTGTCTCTGGTGAATCCTCTCACCCTCCGCATCTCTGGCCTGTACCCCAGTTCTGTACGAATAAATAAATAAATCTTTAAAAAAAAAAAAAAAAGGGAAACAAGATCAGATGGGAATCTGAATAGACACAAAGTAATGAAGAAACTGGAAGTGATACCTATGTGGCAGAGGGTATTTTCTAATCATTTACAGGAAAAATGTCTAATAGTTAACAACAGCAGCCATGTGTTTTGGGGGTTATAATACATTCACAAGAAAATATATTACAACCATACCACGAAAGTCAGGAGGTAGAAAACAACATATACTATTGTAAGATTTCTTGAATCTACTTAAAGGTAGGTTGTGGTAAGTTTAGTATGTACCTTACAAACGTTAATAAATTTAATGGTTTGTACAGCCTTTTGGATTTTCTACATCTACAAAGCCTCCTCTGAGAATGCACAACATTCTTTCTTCACAATTACATAATTTTTTCTTTTTCTTTCATTGCTGCATTTAGGATTTCCGCTAGGATTTCCGTATCAATAGTCTTGAGTAGTTGTAGCCACATGAACTACAAAGTGCTGGGGCCACACCTGTTGAGTTATAGACACCTACTCAGATAGCCACAAAATGCCTATCCTATGGATATGGGTATGCTATTGTTTTATATCAGTACATTTTAGTGACAAACAAGTTCTATAAACTGTAACACTGGAAAAAATTAGAATTTGTATGACTTGAACTGTCAGATAAGGGTAATTTAAGTGTCATGAAGCCCTGGAATTTTCTAATATCATTAACTGAGCTTGTCATGAAATTTCTTCTGAAGCCAGATACCTCTGGTATATGACTGATGATGTCATTAATACCTGATAAAGCGTCAGAAACTTACCTTTCAGTATTTAAGTCTAAGTGAGAATATAATCCTCAAGTCTTAAGTGTTTGCGTGTGGATGTGTGTGGATGGGTATGTATACAGATTATAAATTTTCTTAAAAAAAAAAAAAAAACAAAAAACCTTCCAACCAAAATTCCCCCCATTATGTCT